CTGTGGAAGACGGCGGTGCCCTCGACCTGTTCGTAGAAGGTGAGAGACAGATGCCACGTCTCAATTACTGACACTTTGTGCAGGGAGGCTCTGTCTTGTCTGATAACTGTAGTGAAATGCTCAGCTTTTACACAGCTTGAATTGGGAAGAGCATCTTTTTTCTGTCAATGCAACAGTGATGAGCAGACTGCTCCAATATTTTGGGGCAATGGAGTGCATGCAGGTTTAAATATTTAGCATCTTTCTCACGGGTTCTGTGTGTGCCATGAATGTAGTGTCAGCTGGATAACAGTGGTAAACAATGCCTCATCTTTGGCATCTTTGGACCTGACCGAGGTATCAAAGCAAATGGAAATCTTCCTGTAGGCTTCAGTGAGCTTTGGGATGTACTGCTTTCTCCTCAGGAGAGACAGTATTTGGGATCTACTTGTACAGGCTGCAGATTCCTCTTGGTGAGCAGCCTTTCATTTTAAATCTGAAGGAAACGCCTGCAGAGCTGACAAAGGAATCTCTGCAGTGCAGTTAACCTTGGGCATCTGTGCTGATCCTAGTGATATTAGCAATGCAATGATTTTCTCCCGTCCAGCCATGAAAGATGAAAGGAGGTGTGACCAGCTCCTTCCAGAGGGGTTTCAGTTGTCAGGTACTTGCTTGAAATGGTGTTGAAAAGGTGAGAAGTCTTTCTGTCATATTACCAGTCTGTTGAGAGATGGATGCTCTCAAACTGAGGAATTTTAACTTAGTGTTCCCTAGCTCTTGAAAGTTTTTAGAGATTGTGAGAGTTCAGGGCGAGAAAGGGCCATTAAACCATCTATAAATCACCTGTCTCAAGATAAGCCTCTGCTGAGATGCGTAGCTCTTCTGTTAAAGTAGGTCTCCTAGATAAACCTCTGGTATTGCCCTGGATATACCAAGACATGGTGAACCTAGAAGTCTCTGGTATTTTTTTTGGTGATGCTTTTCTAGAATACAAATCAAAAGAGTGTGTTTTTCAGACGAATCGTGCTATGACAGCAAGATACATCCAAGACAGCCTTACCAAATCTTGTGGAACAATGTTCTGCACAGTGTCTCTGTGAGGGGGTCATTGCCAAAACTTTATCTGCTGAACATTCAGCTGCCCAGGTTCTAAAAGTACGAGAAGAGGAACTTTGCTTCCTGAAACTG